CGAGGGACAGGGAAAGTAAGGGGAAAGACGCGACGGCCTAAAGTAGGTGTTTTGTACCCGACATGCTAGGGCGCTCTCCTAATTATAAAAACAGGTCTACTGATAAAATTTTATTATGGAAATCTATGCTGAGATATCCCCTAAACATTTTAAATGTATATTCATCACAAAATATAACTCCTCTGGTGAGATATTGCGCATGCGCTAACACACTAACGTAGCCAGACTATGTACTGGCTGGTAGACGCAGTTGCGACCTTACATGCAAGGTCTTCCTCCTATGCTATATATGCTAGGATAACTCCTCTTTATTGTATATGCATAATCTTTGCAAAATACGATTTCTCACGGGAGATATTGCGCATGTGCACGCACCGTGTTAGGCGTGTAGTGCCGTCTGAGGCAAACTTCATAATATTGCTTGCTGCGGGGAGAGGGGATGGGAGACTGAGGAAAGGCGGCAGGGAAGATAGCTGGAGGCGGTAGAAGAAGAAGGAGGCTGAGCGAGGGACAGGGGAGGCAAGGGAAAGGACGCGATGGCATAAAGTAAGTGTTTTGTACCCTACATGCTAGGGCGCTCTCCTAATTATAAACACAGATCCACTGATAAAAGTTTATTAAGGAAATCCATGCTGAGATACCCATTAACCATTCTAAATGCGTATTCATCACAAAATACAATTCCGCTGGTGAGATATTGCGCATGCGCTAACACACTAACGTAGCCAGATTGTGTACTGGCTGGTATACGCAGCCGGGACCTTACATGCCATGTCTTCCTCCTATTTATTAAATGATATTAACTGATGGAATATTATCATATAAAACTATGCTAGGATAACTCCTCTTTATTTTAAATGCATAAACTTTGCAAAATACGATGTCTCTCGGGAGATATTGCGCATGCGCGCGCACCGTGTTAGGCGTGCAGTGCTGTCTGGGGCAAACTTCATAATATAGCTTGCTAAAGGGGAAAGGGGATGGGAGACTGGGCAAAGGCGGCAGGGAAGATAGCTGGAGGTGGTAGAAGAAGAAGGAGGCTGAGCGAAGAACAGGGGAGGCAAGGGGAAGGACGCG